GGCTGGCAATATTTATGGATTCTCCATGTTCACTTCCTTACTAATTTAAAGTTCGATAATGTCACTTAATGCTTAAATTGAATATTTTAAATATTTAATAAATTAAATTCGTTTGGTAACTTAAAATTCATAATGTTTAATATTTTAAGCACTTTTTTAAAAATAGGTTAAAATTTTGAGTAAAAAACAACCTAGTTATCACTTAATTTTTAAAATGTTTGTTAGTCTTTTTTTTTTTGGGAGGGAAATCTTGATGTGTTTCATATTGATAGATCATTAGGTTCTCAAACATATTAATCCAGTTAGTTTCTAACATGTTACATATTTGCACTTATATGATGTATACATATTTATGTCCTAAGTTTATCTTGGTACTTTCTAAACCTGTGATTATATTATGTATTTCTCTAACATGTGATATTTTTCAAGAAATTTTGGTTTGAGTGGTAATGTGCAGGATTACAATCTTCACGCTTAATCTAAAAAAGTAAATCCTTGTACTAGATGGAGATTTTAGAACATGTGCATGAGAGTTGAGATTATATTTCCAACTCTTTTGTTCAATAGTTTTTAGTTGTAATATTGATTTCTAACTTGTGTGTTTTGTCACGAAATTACCAAAGGGTGAGATTATTAAATCATATTTGTAATTGACTAATTCCATGGAGTCTATTGTAAAATCTATTACATGGTCATGATGATATCAAGTTCAAGATTAAAAAACGTCATTGAAAAGAGAAGATCAAGCACGAAAACAATATTATTCAATCTCTATAAGCACTTTCATGCTTAAGACAAGGTAATGACCTAGACAGGTAAGATGAACTCTTAGTTATTTTTAACTTATGTTGATTAAGATGCAAATTAAATTGGCAGTAATTCAATTATGATCATGGAATATGTTAAAATTTACAATTGATTCTACGAAGTTAGTCAATTAAAAATATAATTTAACAATAAGAATTTTATAAATTATTTATAATGGACAAATATATTTTTAATGTATTTTACACTCTTAACTTTTTAATTTCCACTATCATGATCACCATCATTATGCCACTGCCACCACCATCAACACTGTTGCCACATTCACCACCACCACCAGTACCATTATACCACGGCCACCATAAGATAGTGTGAACTGCGAAAACAATGCGATGATTTCATTAACCTTATTAATCCTTTCACCCCTTGGCCATTCTATTAATTTCTCTTGTATTCCGCTCTAATTTTCACCAATTTGACGTTAGACTTGTTGGATCTGAATGAAAAATTGTTGAAGGCAATCCTTGTCTAATTAAGGCTTCCTAAAACTCTAATTCGATCAGAATTGAAAATCCGATCCAACCAGCACTCTTGCTTTCATTTCTAGGACTTTTTTTGGTAAGTATTTTAAGGAATTTTTGTCCCTGTGATTTGCCCGTGGACATATGCTTTCAAATGGAGCCACTGATCTTATATTCTAGGGTTAATCATAAATTGCACTCTGAAAGATAGTTTGAATTTCAATTTATAGCGTCAAAGACAAAAAATTTCAATTTGCACACTCAATCATTGAAATTTGTATCAATGTGCACCTAAAACTAACCGCCTTCAGTTTGTCATCTAAAATTAAATAGATAAATTATATTAATTTTCCCTCATACTTGTCATTTAATCATTTGGACTCTCTCACATTTAGAATATTATTCTAACACTTCTTAACGTTTGTGCACGTATAATACATAACTCTATATCGTTGATATCTAATTTCATCCTAATAAAAAATTATAATTTTCATACTACTCTTTATTTTGTGGGTCCGTCATATNGTTATATTTAGTATTTTTATGCTTGATGCATTTTTAAAACATACGTTATTCAATATGAAAAAAAGTTATGACTGATGTCAATGATCATTGATTTTAGTTTGATCCTTAAACAACTCTTGTCCACAATAGTTAGCAGAGCCGGGTATTTATTTATCAATGGAATCGAAAATTTCTTTTTCTATGAGTGCATTTGGAATTTTTCTCAAGTAAGAATGTTTTGTGATTCTATATTGTGATTTCTGAAAATGGTGTTTTTACAATTACAAACTAATCCTTTATTTTTATTAAATAATTACAATCATGCTCATACAATAACAAAATGAACCCATAAATTTTCTGAAGAAACAAGGGACCCCACTGGCCTACTACTGCCTCCGCCCTTGATGGTGAACCGAGGAAATGACTTGTCTCAAAAGGCCTTTCTTTTTGGGCATGCACAAAGTGTCCTAGAAATGCTAAGTAATTTTCAATCTTGGCTGGCAATATTTATGGATTCTCCATGTTCACTTCCTTACTAATTTAAAGTTCGATAATGTCACTTAATGCTTAAATTGAATATTTTAAATATTTAATAAATTAAATTCGTTTGGTAACTTAAAATTCATAATGTTTAATATTTTAAGCACTTTTTTAAAAATAGGTTAAAATTTTGAGTAAAAAACAACCTAGTTATCACTTAATTTTTAAAATGTTTGTTAGTCTTTTTTTTTTTGGGAGGGAAATCTTGATGTGTTTCATATTGATAGATCATTAGGTTCTCAAACATATTAATCCAGTTAGTTTCTAACATGTTACATATTTGCACTTATATGATGTATACATATTTATGTCCTAAGTTTATCTTGGTACTTTCTAAACCTGTGATTATATTATGTATTTCTCTAACATGTGATATTTTTCAAGAAATTTTGGTTTGAGTGGTAATGTGCAGGATTACAATCTTCACGCTTAATCTAAAAAAGTAAATCCTTGTACTAGATGGAGATTTTAGAACATGTGCATGAGAGTTGAGATTATATTTCCAACTCTTTTGTTCAATAGTTTTTAGTTGTAATATTGATTTCTAACTTGTGTGTTTTGTCACGAAATTACCAAAGGGTGAGATTATTAAATCATATTTGTAATTGACTAATTCCATGGAGTCTATTGTAAAATCTATTACATGGTCATGATGATATCAAGTTCAAGATTAAAAAACGTCATTGAAAAGAGAAGATCAAGCACGAAAACAATATTATTCAATCTCTATAAGCACTTTCATGCTTAAGACAAGGTAATGACCTAGACAGGTAAGATGAACTCTTAGTTATTTTTAACTTATGTTGATTAAGATGCAAATTAAATTGGCAGTAATTCAATTATGATCATGGAATATGTTAAAATTTACAATTGATTCTACGAAGTTAGTCAATTAAAAATATAATTTAACAATAAGAATTTTATAAATTATTTATAATGGACAAATATATTTTTAATGTATTTTACACTCTTAACTTTTTAATTTCCACTATCATGATCACCATCATTATGCCACTGCCACCACCATCAACACTGTTGCCACATTCACCACCACCACCAGTACCATTATACCACGGCCACCATAAGATAGTGTGAACTGCGAAAACAATGCGATGATTTCATTAACCTTATTAATCCTTTCACCCCTTGGCCATTCTATTAATTTCTCTTGTATTCCGCTCTAATTTTCACCAATTTGACGTTAGACTTGTTGGATCTGAATGAAAAATTGTTGAAGGCAATCCTTGTCTAATTAAGGCTTCCTAAAACTCTAATTCGATCAGAATTGAAAATCCGATCCAACCAGCACTCTTGCTTTCATTTCTAGGACTTTTTTTGGTAAGTATTTTAAGGAATTTTTGTCCCTGTGATTTGCCCGTGGACATATGCTTTCAAATGGAGCCACTGATCTTATATTCTAGGGTTAATCATAAATTGCACTCTGAAAGATAGTTTGAATTTCAATTTATAGCGTCAAAGACAAAAAATTTCAATTTGCACACTCAATCATTGAAATTTGTATCAATGTGCACCTAAAACTAACCGCCTTCAGTTTGTCATCTAAAATTAAATAGATAAATTATATTAATTTTCCCTCATACTTGTCATTTAATCATTTGGGCTCTCTCACATTTAGAATATTACTTCAACACTTCTTAACGTTTGTGCACGTATAATACATAACTCTATATCGTTGATATCTAATTTCATCCTAATAAAAAATTATAATTTTCATACTACTCTTTATTTTGTGGGTCCGTCATACTCTAAAGTTCAAAATCAAGTTTATCATTTGAATTCTAAATATAATACATGTATTTATATTAATATTTTTTATATCTAATACAATATATCACTTAAACAGAATTATTTAGATGCTCANATTCTAAAGTTCAAAATCAAGCTTATCATTTGAATTCTCAATATAATACATGTATTTGTATAAATATTTTTTATATCTAATACAATATATCACTTAAACAGAATTATTTAGATGCTCAATTAAGAGAATATTTTTAGTCTTATTTGGATTCTAAAAGGATGTAAGTGTAATATTTCAAATATAAGAGATCTAAGTGATTAAGTGACAAATATGAGAAAATTTAGATATAATTTATCGATTTATTTTTAGACGACAAACTGATGGTTATTAGCTTGAGTGCTCATTGATTCATATTTTTGTCTTTGAGGGTGCAAATTAAATTTTTTTTATCTTTAAAGATATAAATTAAAATTTAAATGATCTTTTTCTGGTACAATTTGAGATTAATGGAATATTCTATTTTGCCACTAGTTTTGCCATTTGTTGGTAATCTCATGCGCATGCTTATCATTAATTATTATTATAATACATAAACTCCAACAACTTGGCAATTAGTTTGATTATATATAAAAGCTTCAAACAAACGAAACATAAAATACATTAATCATTTCGCAAAGAGTAATGCCACTTAGACCTAATTTGTTGACTTAATCACTCATAAATATTGAATTGACTGCGAACCTCGGTATTTATTGAGATCTACAACCAATGCAATAATTGTGATAAATTAAGTTAACAAATTATAAAATTAAATTAGATCTAAATAATATTATTGTATCACAAAATATCCACGGTTTCCCTAACTATGAAATAAAACCATGATGATTTCATACCCAATTAAAAGGAAAACGTGGGTATTTTGATCAAATTAAGATATATCAAAGCCATACTTAAATGCAGAAAAAAGAAAGGTGATCTACTTGTTGTGAAGAGGATCGGGGCAAGCAGGTACTGTCCGTTTGATCTCTTCAAAACTTCTCTCGGTTTCATTAAATCCAAAGGATTTTCCATTGAAGAACTTGTGTTTCTTCTCCTCCATCTTCTTCTTATGGTGGTAGACGTTCATGGTGGTCATGTTCTCGTAGTCTGCCCATTCGCTGTCTCGTAGCATTCGAATTGCTTCAACCTTGCAATTACCAATGCACAACCATGGGTGCATCACTGAAATGGTCAGCATAAATACCAGAAAAGGGAACATTACTCTACTACTTCTTGACAACACCGCCACCGGAAAATCCATGGTCGGTAGCACATATATAATGGAGTCTTTGGAGCATGTAGTAGCACAGAAACTTAGTTCTGGACTTTCTCTTCTCTATTCATGGTAGGTGCTGTTGTTGAAGGCTTCATAGTGAGAGAGAAAGCAATTTATAAGAGGTGACAAAATGCTTAGGTAGATTTGGGTTGCACTTAGATAGCGGATGTATTTACATTAAAATAAGCCACATTAGGTTAAATTTACATAATTTACATCCCAAGACACGTATACAGTTTTTGTAAAATCATAATTTAATATATTTTACTTTTTTTTATTACTACCGTCAATTAATGTAAGTTTTTATGATCAGAAATGTAAATATTACAAAATTTGTGNAGTTTTTGTAAAATCATAATTTAATATATTTTACTTTTTTTTATTACCACCGTCAATTAATGTAAGTTTTTATGATCAGAAATGTAAATATTACAAAATTTGTGCGACTTAATGGCAATATATATATTTGATCAAAAATAAAAAATGGCAACATATATATATATATATATATATATATATATATATAGTCCAGATCTTATGTCGTTTAAATATTGAAGACAACATGTGTCTTCTTAACAAGAAAATCTATATAATAAAACACATAAAAAGTTGAATTTTATCCCCTATATATTTTTTTTCATAAAACCATCAGATCACTAATTTCTATTACATGTTCAATCATTTAATATTTGATTAATTTATAATTTAATATAAATTTTTTTCAAATAATATTCATACACGATAGTATATATATGTTGAAATTTTTTTTATCAAATTACGTATTTTAAGAAAATTTTGTCAATATTTTTTTAAAAATAATGAGTAAAAATAAATTTTGAATAATATAATTAAAAAAAATGAAGAAANTGGCAGTAATTCAATTATGATCATGGAATATGTTAAAATTTACAATTGATTCTACGAAGTTAGTCAATTAAAAATATAATTTAACAATAAGAATTTTATAAATTATTTATAATGGACAAATATATTTTTAATGTATTTTACACTCTTAACTTTTTAATTTCCACTATCATGATCACCATCATTATGCCACTGCCACCACCATCAACACTGTTGCCACATTCACCACCACCACCAGTACCATTATACCACGGCCACCATAAGATAGTGTGAACTGCGAAAACAATGCGATGATTTCATTAACCTTATTAATCCTTTCACCCCTTGGCCATTCTATTAATTTCTCTTGTATTCCGCTCTAATTTTCACCAATTTGACGTTAGACTTGTTGGATCTGAATGAAAAATTGTTGAAGGCAATCCTTGTCTAATTAAGGCTTCCTAAAACTCTAATTCGATCAGAATTGAAAATCCGATCCAACCAGCACTCTTGCTTTCATTTCTAGGACTTTTTTTGGTAAGTATTTTAAGGAATTTTTGTCCCTGTGATTTGCCCGTGGACATATGCTTTCAAATGGAGCCACTGATCTTATATTCTAGGGTTAATCATAAATTGCACTCTGAAAGATAGTTTGAATTTCAATTTATAGCGTCAAAGACAAAAAATTTCAATTTGCACACTCAATCATTGAAATTTGTATCAATGTGCACCTAAAACTAACCGCCTTCAGTTTGTCATCTAAAATTAAATAGATAAATTATATTAATTTTCCCTCATACTTGTCATTTAATCATTTGGACTCTCTCACATTTAGAATATTATTCTAACACTTCTTAACGTTTGTGCACGTATAATACATAACTCTATATCGTTGATATCTAATTTCATCCTAATAAAAAATTATAATTTTCATACTACTCTTTATTTTGTGGGTCCGTCATACTCTAAAGTTCAAAATCAAGTTTATCATTTGAATTCTAAATATAATACATGTATTTATATTAATATTTTTTATATCTAATACAATATATCACTTAAACAGAATTATTTAGATGCTCAATTAAGAGAATATTTTTAGTCTTATTTGGATTCTAAAAGGATGTAAGTGTAATATTTCAAATATAAGAGATCTAAGTGATTAAGTGACAAATATGAGAAAATTTAGATATAATTTATCGATTTATTTTTAGACGACAAACTGATGGTTATTAGCTTGAGTGCTCATTGATTCATATTTTTGTCTTTGAGGGTGCAAATTAAATTTTTTTTATCTTTAAAGATATAAATTAAAATTTAAATAATCTTTTTCTGGTACAATTTGAGATTAATGGAATATTCTATTTTGCCACTAGTTTTGCCATTTGTTGGTAATCTCATGCGCATGCTTATCATTAATTATTATTATAATACATAAACTCCAACAACTTGGCAATTAGTTTGATTATATATAAAAGCTTCAAACAAACGAAACATAAAATACATTAATCATTTCGCAAAGAGTAATGCCACTTAGACTTAATTTGTTGACTTAATCACTCATAAATATTGAATTGACTGCGAACCTCGGTATTTATTGAGATCTACAACCAATGCAATAATTGTGATAAATTAAGTTAACAAATTATAAAATTAAATTATATCTAAATAATATTATTGTATCACAAAATATCCACGGTTTCCCTAACTATGAAATAAAACCATGATGATTTCATACCCAATTAAAAGGAAAACGTGGGTATTTTGATCAAATTAAGATATATCAAAGCCATACTTAAATGCAGAAAAAAGAAAGGTGATCTACTTGTTGTGAAGAGGATCGGGGCAAGCAGGTACTGTCCGTTTGATCTCTTCAAAACTTCTCTCGGTTTCATTAAATCCAAAGGATTTTCCATTGAAGAACTTGTGTTTCTTCTCCTCCATCTTCTTCTTATGGTGGTAGACGTTCATGGTGGTCATGTTCTCGTAGTCTGCCCATTCGCTGTCTCGTAGCATTCGAATTGCTTCAACCTTGCAATTACCAATGCACAACCATGGGTGCATCACTGAAATGGTCAGCATAAATACCAGAAAAGGGAACATTACTCTACTACTTCTTGACAACACCGCCACCGGAAAATCCATGGTCGGTAGCACATATATAATGGAGTCTTTGGAGCATGTAGTAGCACAGAAACTTAGTTCTGGACTTTCTCTTCTCTATTCATGGTAGGTGCTGTTGTTGAAGGCTTCATAGTGAGAGAGAAAGCAATTTATAAGAGGTGACAAAATGCTTAGGTAGATTTGGGTTGCACTTAGATAGCGGATGTATTTACATTAAAATAAGCCACATTAGGTTAAATTTACATAATTTACATCCCAAGACACGTATACAGTTTTTGTAAAATCATAATTTAATATATTTTACTTTTTTTTATTACCACCGTCAATTAATGTAAGTTTTTATGATCAGAAATGTAAATATTACAAAATTTGTGCGACTTAATGGCAATATATATATTTGATCAAAAATAAAAAATGGCAACATATATATATATATATATATATATATATATATAGTTCAGATCTTATGTCGTTTAAATATTGAAGACAACATGTGTCTTCTTAACAAGAAAATCTATATAATAAAACACATAAAAAGTTAAATTTTATCCCCTATATATTTTTTTTCATAAAACCATCAGATCACTAATTTCTATTACATGTTCAATCATTTAATATTTGATTAATTTATAATTTAATATAAATTTTTTTCAAATAATATTCATACACGATAGTATATATATGTTGAAATTTTTTTTTATCAAATTACGTATTTTAAGAAAATTTTGTCAATATTTTTTTAAAAATAATGAGTAAAAATAAATTTTGAATAATATAATTAAAAAAAATGAAGAAAAAAAAAAATTATTATTTAATATAGTGAGATCGGCTTTTTGGAGTTCGGGTTATGACTAGTATTTAACATAACATAACACGATATTATTATTGTTACGTGGTGTTGTTATTTAATAAAAAAATAATACAATTTGATAATTATTCTTTCATATATGCTAGTAGCCTATCGTTGTAATAGTGACATTCATTTTAGATATTTAATTATATTTTTATTAAATAATAATATAATATAATAATAATGCGGTGATGTCACTGTTAGATTTAATATCTATTTTTTTTTATTTTTTAACAACCTAGGTAATAAAGTTTCTAACTAACACAAATAGAAAATATTAATAGTAATAGTAAAGTAGGACTGCCATTTATGAATATCATTTCTTCCATGTGAACACAGTACCGGACTGACAGCAACGTTTGATGCTGTTTGTACGACGCTAATTAGCACAGGAGCTGTACATGTAAATTGTGCAACTTGGCACAGAAAACTGTGGTCGTGGGATAGCATTGATTCCTACGTGCATCAAATGGGATATAAATGTTATGTCCCCAACTCAGTTAAAGCACCCTCCCAATTCGTGGTGTTTCTGGCTGTCACAACGTTGAAAGTTAACCGAAACTTGCTAGCTGTTAACGTTGGATTTCAATGCATTATGGGTTTTTCTCTGTTTTTGACACGCTCGGCTTGTCTCTGTTTTTGGTCAGAACTGGTTATTTATTCATTGAGTTCAATCCTTTTGTTTTTAAAACTCAAATCCACGACTAATCTCTTATAATAAGCAAGAATTTTGTGTTTTCGTGTCTCTGATTCATGATTTGATGTCTGAGCGCTGCTCAATAGTGTTATCAAAAAAATTTGAGCTTTAGGTCTCATTTATAAAGAAGACCCCAAATTTTTAATTATCATAAATAGTCCATACAAAAAAATTAAATCCATAAATACTTTGAACTCTACAAAAAGGCTTTATAAAAACACAAGTTCAATCAAAAACAATTTAAGACCTCATTTTAAAGAAAGCCCCATAATTTATAAGTGTGCAATAATAGTCCAAACAAAAAATTTTAATTTATGCTCAAATAAAAGATTTCAACTTAAGTAGTTGGACCTATTAATTTAGCTGTGAAATTAAAAGCCCCTAAATTTTATTTTTTTTAAATAAAGAAAAAAAATTAACTGTAAACTAAATGTACTAAAGAATCTAGTTTTAACTCCAAAAAAGGTCAAGTTAAATTTATCATCATAAGTTTTCTATCATTCTTTCTCCCTCTAACCATTAAGTTCAAATATGAAAAAAAAAAAAACTTGAATATAAAAATTTAATTAATATTAAAAATAAAAAGA